TAAGATCGCCATTTCATAATTTCTTGTAGGGGGATAAAGGTCCTTCACAAAGTCGAAAATGTACTTAAGTCGACCTTGGCCTTTCAACCAGATTCTAAAAGTGAGCAGAGCGAGCGGTGTGAACCTATACTATTTCAGACCACATGGGATATGGGTATATAGATTGTGCAAAGGTCAAGAATACATTTTCACTGGATAATTTGTCTTATCGCTGAATTGTTCAAACGGTTTGCTCTTAACCAAAAGCATATGTAAACCAACGACTCCAACACGCTGTGGATTACTACATCTGCCACTTCATGCTTTTGATAACTTAACCATTTTATAAAGACACGTTTTATTAATGTGGTGGCATTTGGTTAAAGTTATCACTTTAGCTAATTATTTGTGCAGAAAAAATCGTGTCGCATAGGGTAGTTAATGGGTGAAGTGAATAATTACTTCCATGCAAAGCATTTTCCTTTATTTTAGCAAATAAGACATTTAGCCTATTATGGTGTCTTATAGATCTTTTTTAGCGACTCTTTTTCATATAAATAAAATAATCCCAGTAACATACTGTACTCTTAAGGCTGTTACATACAGCCAGGGTGTTAATACGCTATCAGCTCGAAGTGCAACTATTTGTTAAGAGCATGGACTCCCCACACCCTGACCATATTGAACGCCCGCCGTGGGTACAGACTTTGATCGAGTTTTCATTCATGAGCTTGTCAAGGAGAAAGAATCAATACCTCATGGCTTGACTGCAGCCTCCGGCTTTGTAGCAAGGATGCCACATCAATGAGGGTAACAGACAATGCCACATCGCTCCAAGCAGCGGTATTTGCGACCATGAGAGCCCTAGTCCACGTGTACCAGAGAGAAGGACACGTGGTTAGAGCAGCCATTGACAATCTGCACACATGTCTTACAACAACCTCCTGATCACTTTGTTTTTCATAACGCAGAGGATCTGTGCTCAGAGTAGAAAAATTATCATAAACTAAGTCCTCAGCCACATAGAAATCAGAGGCCAGGTGGTACTCATATGCCACATGCTATGAGCCACTATGACTCTTCATCAAATAATAGAGGTGCCGAGGTCATTCTTCATAGAATCAGACTAGGCTACTACTGCGCATGGCAAATAATAAAGAAAACTTACTATATTGACAGGCGTTGCAAGCACTGTTTTGAGCACAAATTCTGAGACTGGGACCACTGACCACATAACCACGTGGTGAGAAGATGCCTCTTGCTTCCAGCCCAAGCGGGTTACGGCGAACCATAACTGACCTTTTGTAGCCTTAGAATAGTATGTTACAATTTGTTTTGCTCAATTATATTGTTATTATGCGTGCATGAATTTTGGACTATTAAAGAACACAGTGAACGTTATATTCCAATATAACTGACATTTGTTTTTGCCAAAAGACGTATACCTCCAAGGCATTACACTAAAACTAGTATAAGTAGGCTACTGTCTTCGCCTCGGATGTAATAGCTGTATTTATGCCTTTATTAATATTACTGTTAATGTCATTATTTTCATTATTATCAACGAAGTTTGTGGGTGGCAGGACATCATGATGATTCAGAACAAAGGAGACAACTTCATATATACAGCTATAGTTAAGCCTTTAAAACTTATTCCAGGTATTATTTGTTAATCTGGTAATTTGTATAATAAATAAACCTAATATTACTCGTATGATATTAGCCATCCTTTCGAGCAAGGCCTTGCTTTCGAGGAGACAATACTTCGTTCGTAGATTCCACGGTACTCATGCATTCCGTCAGTATGGTCATTCTGTTTTATATGAAACCTTGCATATTTCTGCTTTGCTAACTCTTAAACATATTAGTTAAAAATGTTAGTTATATCAGGGAATGGGCACAGCGTTGTGTTTACAAACAACTCGGCTGATTAGCATTTAAGGCTTGTGATTGGTCAAGATTCCTTAGGAGCCGCCTGGAACCACAGCTGTGTGGCTACTGACCCGACGTCTCGAGTGAGTTTCGGCAATGCGGGGCTTAAGGCGGAGATAAGACGCCGTAAAAAAAAAAAAAAAAAAAAATGATGGTGATGGTGCAGATGAAGCCATGTTAGGTCGTTAAGTTTAGACCTCCAGCTCGCTTTTTATATTATGCTTCGTTCGGAACTCCTCTTGCTCGTCCAGACTCGTCAGGGAGCAGGACAACGAGCCCTTCATTGCCCACAATGCAACCAGCTCGAAAGTTTAGAATTTTATCATAACGGTGTCTTTATTTTAGACGCTACGTAGGTTTTCTAATTTCTCTGATGCATAGATAATTTACCTGTAACTGACAAACACAAAATACCCTTTGATAACAATAAATGGCCATAAAAATACAATTCTGCCATTGTGTACATAAAAATGCTATTGTGACATCATCTTGTCCTGTTCGCCCGGCTAAGAAGCAGAGCAGGACGAGATGTACAGAACCGGAGGTCCGAACGCATAAGGCTCCTTTAAGTATCCGGCCCCAGAACAAA